TGGGGATAATCGAATTTTCATAACAATACAAGACGACCGCATACCTCCACTTCCCTGCATCGTCGGCAGACGCTCGCGAATATTAACATGTTCAGTCGTTCACCAACAAAAATTTTTCATTACCAGTGCCAAAATGGAATGGCTGAAGATGTCGCCTGCATTGCCGATGATCAATCAGTAATTCAATTGGGTCTTACCATTGTACTAAATGGTATCTTGCACAAATGTCGGATCGTTAGTGATTCGGTGAAGTACGAGCAGGAAGCAACGTGTTTCGACAACGGTGGTCATTACTCGATTGGTGACACATTCCGTAATGGCTCATTCCGCTTGACTTGCAGACGGGATGGTATTACCATTGAAGGGTGCTATTTGCAAAATCCTGGTTGATACTTGATGGCTGACGAGTCCAGAATCGTTGGCAGACAACCTCACAAGTGCGAGGCTCTGGCTGAAGGGCGTACGAAGTATCAAGCAAAAGTGATTGGATGCGTACTTGAAGGTCAGCAGTACAATATTGCCTAGGTATTCACCGACACGCATGTACGATATCAGGACAAAAACGATGGGACATTATATGTGCTAGCATCGACTTTTCCTCGACTTGGGTCGTGATATTCTGATGAATGGAGTGGTTCGTAGAGTACCTCATAGAATTGCGACATCGTCACAAAGTCATCGGGAAGAAGAGTAGATGGCATCACGCGCAGGAGACGTTGCGCACCTTAACGACGACTCGCAACTGCCAAGAGGACAGTGGCCAACGACAATGATTACTGATCTGATATACGCAATTGTAACACCATGTAATCCGTTCCCTAGGACGACAATGTGTTATTGGTAATGTGAATACTTAATATTGTAAGCGCAATTTAGCACAATAAACCTTGCTTAGCTCTTTTTGTTGAATACATCTATGTAGGTACCGCTAGTCGCCCTGCTCCGGTGTTGTAGATTTACAATCATATCTATGTTCATAATAGAGCTATGAGATCAGTATCTTTTGAGATGAGACCACAGGAATGACCTGGGGTATCATAAATGTGCAATCAAAAGGGTAACTTGAGTTCTGCCGTTGGTCTCGGTAGCGATCCGCTCTTTCATCTCCCGAGCTCAAAAACTGCCACGGACCCCCTAAGGTCCAGTGCGATACTCTAAGGACAGCCCACATATTGTGTCCATAAACCCCGCGAATGTATTATTGTGGTCGATCTTTGTAATAAACGTCGTAATAAATCTTTGTTGCACGTCCCTAGTACAATCTTCCTTTGGAAATCCACCAAACCGCCCACTTCGCAAAAGATAAGGCTTTCCAAAAGTAGTGTGAATCGAGGTTTTACGAGATTACCATGGCAGAAATGGCACGGATGGGGTATTCGGACGAGATTTCAGTTGTTACAACTGCGCAAAGAGCTGGCTACATCGAGCTGTCTCCATTGTCGCAATGGTCATGACAAGTTGTTTGATCTCCCAACGTGGAAGTCCTTTGAAATAGTGCAGCCTCTACATCACCGTTGAGACTCGTCCGCTGTGGGTGTGGCATTTACACGATACAACAATGTCTGACCCCTTATTGTGCCCTATCCAGGACGTTTCATGGCTTAACATCGGCACATATATAAATCAGGAGGGACCTCGAATTTATCGTGTGAAGAAATCTCAGAAACCATTTATTTGTGAACTGTGCCTTTAAAGTGTTGTGAAGGTGATACCAAAACCTTTGAAAATCTCGTTGTTCCGAATTCTGTATTACTGCCTATCTGTAAATATGTTTTGCTACTAAAAGGGATTATGGGTGGGGATGCAGGACTCTTAGTCTCATTTGGAGCTTATCTCTTAGCGAGTAGGCGAGACAAGAAATTCTCCAGCTGGCGTCCCGGAATAGCCGAGCAATAATGTAATATTATATCTAATAACATCAGTAATAACAGCTAGCTGTAGGCTATATCTTGCTTTTGTCTGACATCCAATGTTAGCAAAGAAAGGAACGGGCTGTGAGTCCGCTCCTTTTCTTGCTAGTGGACGTCGTTACAAAGGGGCTCAAGGAGTGACCACAGACGACAATCCTTTACGCTCATGACATCGCACTGATAGCGGGTGTGGAGAATGCTTTTAGAACAAGTTGCACAAATGGCCAAATTGGTGGCGCACACTGAGCTTCCACTGAACGTGAAGAAGTCTAAGTAACTCAGCTCCAAGGAGTGCACGAAATCAATCGTAGACGGTCTTGGGGAAGACATCGAGAGAGTACAAGTCTTCCGGTAATTGTAGAGTGATAGTGCTGCTGATGGTGGCATGGACCAAGCTGTAGAAGCCCGACTAGATGCGGCAGGAATGGAGTGGAGAATCTCCTGCGATCGTCGGTGCCCAGATCTTCAAAGAGAAGGAGTATTATGAAAGCAGCCGCTCACGATGCTGTACGGCAGCGAACACTGGTTCTTTGTGTTCGATGCCGTTGAGCCCTTCACTTAGCGGATATGCATTGACGAGATCAGGTAGGGTAAGGAGGGAAGACTTCAAGACAATCATACAACAGCCTACTTCTAGTTGGAGATGGTTAAACAGCATCCGCGATGGTACAGACACCTTCTGAGATGGCCACAGGATCAGCCAATGAAGAAAGTAATGGAGCTCCAGGTTCAAGAGAATTGACGCTGAAGAGCGGCAATGAAGATGAGACTGGAGGTGACTACTATAACTCGCTGAAACTACACTAACGGCAGAAGGTGTCAAGCCAGGGGCATCGAAGATTCTTCTCTACACCCTGACCTCGCCCATAGTTCCCCCGACCCTTGAAACATCCTTACTATAAATAAAGCGCTTTGTCTGTCTGTCTGTTTGTCTGTCTGTTTGTTTCTTTGTACGGAAATTC